TTGTGGTTGTGCCAACGAATCCCTGCCTCCCCACAGTTGCTCATGTGATGTCGGTGTTGATGAGGCACAACTAGAGGTTGGTGGAAGTGGCAGAACATGTGCAGTGAGGAGGCGGTGTCATTATTTTCCTCCCTACGTGAATGCAAATGCATGCCTCCCACTACTGCCTCCCCTCCAAGTGAGGTTGAACGCTTCCTTAATGAGGGCTGATTTCCTGCCTTCATGGGTGTTCGCTGTGTCATCTGCTCCATGGTAGTTCCACTTCATACCAGAAAACTTAAGATACCCTTACGTCTCCCTCCCTATTAATTATGTCCTGGCACCAGATGAATGTCACTGACAGGCATGAGATTTGTGCACCTCAAGCCAACGCTTTATTAGCCATCAGGGGGATAGTGATGAGACAGGCGATTTCCAGGTCCTGTTTCTCACAAATGCAACTAATGTGAAGTCATCTGCGGCGATGAAATGCATAAATGTGGTGACCACCGTTGAAGTGCACAATTCTGTGCTAACTAAGTACACATTCAATTGGAGGACCAGTTGAAGAAATCGGCACGTGGATATTAGTGCATTTTGATTGAGTAGAAGCATGTCTACTGAAGTCGTGGAGATACCAACTAATTTTTGTCTCCATTCGTTGGTGCATTGTGTCCATCAATCAGACAATGAAAGGTCAATTTTTAGATTGGCAAAGAATTCATGAGCTTAAAATGAGCTAAAGCCACATTTTTAGTGGGATTCATCACTTCTTGTTAGAGGTGTGCCGCAACGGTAGACATGGGTGCATTAAAAGCGTGTCTATATGAAGATGATGAGCTGCACATGCATTTGCTTCGACGAAATATGGGACGAAGAGTATGGAAGAACCAATATTCCATTGGTAGGTAGCAGAAACAAGGCTTAGGATAGAGCGACTGCCCAAGCAACTGTAGACACTGTCTCCATTAAAAAAGCGAGTAACGCGTCTTCATGGCTGTGAGAGTAAAGGAATGTACAGAATGCAGGTAGGCAGAAAGGCATTTATCAAGCCTCAAAATGCCCAATACATGCAGCATATGCAGCTTAGGCACCACTTCATCGCTTGAGTTAAAAGCTCTCCCTCACTTTTGTAAATGACAGCTAAATGGACGAGAGAGTTCATGGGCACAAGAGTTTGGGATGCTGATAAAGTCCAATTTTAACCAAGCAGTATCGCCGAGGCGAAAATGGCGTACTAGTGTGAGTTGAATGGTGCCGAGCAAGACAATTGCATCAGAGTACGAAGGCTAACCAGAGAGTGGAAACACATACTACAATAAAACAGGGCAGTTGCTGCTCTGTACAATGCAATGAAGCAGCAAGCCGAAGAGAGGGATTTGACGGAATGAAGCTGGCAAGATGGAAAGTGTCTTATAACGTTAAAATTTGTCCGAATTTGTCTACCACTTGCAAGGTAGTTTAAATTAATCGTTTTTGTCTGCCGTCGAGTTCGTGCTTCATTAAATTCTACCCTACACAATCGACGAAGTCGGGATGTGCCTGTGAGTTGTCATGACATTGGTAATGAGAAATGCTGTAAGTGTGTTTCAGACAAATACCACTCCCAAGTTCCCTTTCTGTGTGTTCATATTTCTTCATCTTCCTCCTGCAGAGGCCCTAAAAACTTTGGTTACCGGCATTTCTTAAATTAAAACGTCCTAGGATGTCAGCAGTGTGGTGGTTGTGCCAACTGATCCTTTCTCCACTGTAGTTGCTTTTAAAGCCAGTGTTGATGGATAACAATCAGAGGTTGGTGCAAGTGTGAGTTGGTGTTGGATCAAGAATTAGTGCCATAGTTTTCTTCCCCACTTGATTACTAATGCCTATACACTGCCACAGCCTCTTCTCCAA